AATAAAAAAGTCGCAATGAGAAAATATTCTATTAAATATTTCTATTCTATGCATGTAGTGACAGTGGAGAGGAAAACTCCCTTTTAACAGGAAGTATGCTGGTGAAGATTCACAGTCATCCAGGTCCTAGTTGTTCCAAAAAAGGAAAACACCTTCTTAACAAGAAGAAACCTCCAGCAGAACCAGGCTCGGTGTGAGCGGCCATCTGCCGAGGCCAACTGGGGTTCAAGGAGGCAGAAGCAGATGAAGACATAAATGAAATAAGTTATTTGGCGCTCGGGCCCTGGCAGAAGACTTTGATGCTGTGAATCAACATACGCTTGGATGAGTAACCTAGAAAAGGTATTAGAGTAGTCCTCCATTGGGCCCCGGGCCCTAGTGTTGGAATAAGCCAGAGGATGAGTGGGACTGAGAATGAGGGAGAAGATGGGGTGGAGGTGGGTTAAAGTTTACCTGTGTCCAGGAGAGAGAAGCTAGGCAGGAGCTAAATGAAGGGGATCTTGCAAGATGATTGGATTCAGAGAAGGTGCGGCCCCCGAGTTCATTACCTGGAGCTGAACGAGGGACATCGCAGGTTGTTCAGGTGAAGCTCATAAGAGTCTTCCAGGTTGAATTTACGCTTAAGCTTCATGTCTGTGTTTTAGCCTTTAGTTTATTTTGACATTAGTACTTAAAGGCGTCAAAGGATGTTATTCATGCTTAATTTATCTATTCATTATCCAAAGCCCAGAAGAAAAGAGGAGATGAAAAGAAAATTGAGACAAAAAAGTCTTAATGAAGCATCTTTCCAAACAAAAGTGGGTAAAGGCAGCAGGCATTTCGGGCAACGTTACTGAACCTTTAACACAACCTTACAAATGTTATTACTTTAAAAAAATGGTAGACATTTTTTGCCCTCTTAGACACCTTCTCATCTTTCCATAACAATTTGATTTAATAATAAACTATATTTATCTTATAAATTTAAAACTGAGCTTTGGTGCTATGAAAAACTGGTATAAAACTTGAGGCTGAAGCAATGAAGCGGGTATAGTTAAAATAAAAGAAGGATGAATAAAAAATGGAGCTGAACAGTAATCAGATTCAAATGCAGCTTTATCAAATTAAATGCCACAAACTGTCTTAATGTTTTATGTCTTGTGTTTGTAAGGAAAATGTATCCACACAAAAAAGCAAGGTTCTGAAATCTGAAATCTTTAAATGCTGCACCCTGTAATAATCCCATGTGGTATGTTCCCACTTAACTAGAAATAGTATTTTCTCTTTACGTATTTAATAAAACAACATGGCAGCGGTGCTCCTAATTTCTTCCTTCTGCTTGGAGGACAACTCAAGTGTTGAGTGCAAAGAGAAGTGCACACAATTAGCTAATATAATTCACAGATGTGCTCGTGGAGCTTTTCTGCCTCTCTGTTCTTCATCTTCAAGCTGCACAGCAGGCCGGGCAATTTGAGAGTTATGACACAGCCCTCTGAGCTTTAACCCCATTGTGACCTGCTGGCACATACATTTCAGATGACGTAGTAATTAAAATACACTAATTTGATAATAATGCAATAACAGCAGCACCCGAAGGGATAATTTAAAGAAAACATTTCCGCAGACATTCAGTAAAGCATAAAGCTCCATAGAAAATACAGTAGCCCATCGGTGCTCTTTCTGAGGTCTCAGGGGTATTTCGGGGTACAGATTTCATACCAGAGTCATTAAAAGCTTTGTTCCCCTTTGGCTGTGAGCGCCTGCCTGGCGTCAAAGCCCGTGAATGATATTAGATCCCTAAAGTGCAAACCTGATGAATATCTGAGGCTGTTTTGGAAAGGGTTAAGGCTGAATCTCTTTCAAAGCTCAAGGCACGGAGGACATTTAAAGTCAAAAATGATAAAATATCTTAGACTGGAAGAGATATTTTTCATTAAATTGGTTAGGTTTCAGACTTCTGAATGTTTAGATTGCTTTAGGTTTGTTTTCTGAAATTTCCATACATACAAGAAAGCAACAAAGTGAAGATATCAGGGATGCATATAATAAAATGCAAATCTAATGATCGAACAGATATCCTGATAATAATGAGAAGCTTCATCAAATTTCAGATGCAGTCATTGTTTATTCTGGCTCAATGGGTCTTTTCTATGAAAAATACCACCTAAGACATTAAAGGTCAAATAATATTGCTTTAAAGATATAGTCAAGCTAAAAATCTCAGAAAGCATGAAATATAAATGATTGATAATCTATGTTTTTCTAACTGAATGAATAATTTCAATTTACACTTTTCTAATACACCAACTAAAATCCATATAAAAGACCTTCACAGCACTGTCTGGAAGTCCATCACTGCTAAACTTTGTGAACAAAGAACAGATCCTTGTTTATTTCATTTTTTCAGCTAGAAAAAAACATCAATGGAAATGTGTCAAATGTATTTGGTCAGTTATGTGGTGAACAGAAGGTGGTTGTGCTGCAAATATGATAAATGCAATTAAATAAAAAATGCTGGATATTTCCTCAAAACAGTTTCCTTCTGGTTAAAGGGAGCTTAAGTATTGGAGTTTTGGATTTACAGTTAGAAATAACCCAAGATCTAAGAGAAGAGGGTGCATAACAGTTGATGCCATTGGAAAGACTGCTGAAAAGGATTGCTTTGGTCAGAAAAGAAATGTTTCCTACCTTGCTCTCTGTCAAGGCTACACTCATTCTGATCTCCATTGGTTGCATTCATAAAACTAAACACTGAATTCCTCTTTAAAGGTTTGTTGTACTTTTATAATTTTTATTCATACTTATAAGTTTTGTAAATAATAAAGATCATCACTGTCATTATCAACAATCCTAAATACAGTTATGCATCAAGGGAAGGTTGTCACTGATATACAGAAAAACCTTATTTTTTTACTTTTACAGGATGATTCAGAATCAACAAAGTCCTGAGTGTTTAACTGGAAGGCCACTGGACTACCCCTCTCTTCAGCAGAGTTGTCATGTCTTGGATGATTATGAATCTGAAAAAAAAAAATATGAAGCCTTTTGCGGTGTGCTGTCCCGCTTTGTTACTCATAACAAACCTTCTCATAGAAAAGCTCCAGACCTAATCCAAAGTGTTCATCCACCATGATTGTTATTAACTGTGAATTAGCAAGTTTGTCCCTGATTCCTCCTCATCAAAAACAAAGCCAGGACACTGAAAGCTGGTAAACAATTTGTTCCTCCCTTCCTATCGCAGGCATTTTGGCTTTGAAGGTTACAGGAGTGGAAGTAAACGGATTGAACTTATTCAGTGAAGCTTGTTTTGCATGCAGTAGTTGCTCCAATCATGCCAGTGGGCGTGTTTGAGTTTATGCAAAGTTTCTTTCCTCGCTAATGATCTACAGGGACATGGTGATGCAGCCTGGAACAGGACTGGTAGTGAAAAACAGAACCAGATATAATTTTGAATAAATTAGTAATATTTTACTGTGGTTCATATATATATATATATATATATATGTATGTATAAGCTTGAGTATAGTGGTGATAATCTTAAGTGCATAGCCTTGGTTTTCTGCCTATAGACTCCCAGAGGGTGGTCATGGACATAGTTTACTTTCACAGGCAAAGGCTTCCATTTGCCATTGTTGTGCTAAACACTGCTTTGGCACAGAGGAAATTGAATCAGGGAGCTATCCAGCGGCGCTCTTTGGGCTGTCTTGTCCTTATCATTTCCATCAACCTGATCAGAAACACATTGGGATCCCACCAGCTGAGGGTCAAAAAGCCACAAAACCTTTGGCAGGCAGACACTTCCTGAGTACTGCATCATATGTTGCCTGTGTTGGATTTTTTCCGGTGATGTCATTTGTAAATATGGACTAATTTATTTAGCCAGCAGCACTGAGGCTGCTAAAAGCTAAACATCAGTAACAGAAAGCAAACAAGGTTTTATTTAGATTTACCTAACTGTGTGAAGAGATTTATTTATTTATTTTTTGGCACAGGGTTATTCTGACGCAAATTGTCCTATGATGTAAGACCATTCGCATGAAAACTAAAAAAAAAAAAAAATGAAATTTGAGATTCCTAAAAGTTGAGTCTCTTATATACCCTAAGTACTACAATAATACACCACAGCACACCTACATCTTTATAGGTTTAGAACATGTGTTTGCTTGAACTTACTTCTGTATAATATAATTAAGTTCCAACCTAGTCAACTTTTCTGTAGAGGCTCTTTTAACACACTCAGGATACAATTCTTTTCCTTCATATTGCACATTTACCAACATATAAACCCGCTGAAAAGGAAAACATTTGACTCAGGTGTATAAAATTACAGTAACTGTGTATAGATTGAAAACTGTTACTCAGCTTTCAAGGTTCTTTGAATATCACACATTCAGTTTGTTGTGTTCCTGAATGTTGATGTGAAGGTGAATACCATGGAAAACAGTCTACAAGTGGAAAAATTTCAAAACAACAGTGAGTAAGCCCAGGTGTGGCCATCTAAGCAAAATCATACTGAAAGCAGAAAGCATGATTCTTACAGATGTCATTGAGAAACTTGGAACATATTTACAGAGCCTGTCGCTGATGCAAAAGGTGCCTGCTTGTATCACCACAGGCATCTCAGGTTTAACACTCAAGAGATGTGCAAAGAGAAAATATTTACTTTCCAGGAGACGCCTGACGAGCAACCTGAAGTTTACTAGAAAAAATGTAAACAAGAAAATCTAGAATGTTGTTCTTGTGACATATAGGTCTGAAATTGAAGTATTTGCACATCTTAAAAGAAGACATGTTTGACACAAATGAAGAACAGCACTCCATGAAAACGGTTTCATACCATTGAGGAAGCGTGACATGGGGTCAGGTTTGGGAGGCTTCAATGCAGCAATACAAGACTGACTTACCATCATATAGTAGAAGCCATCCAGATCTGAAAAACTGCGTTGGAGACTGTTAATTATGACGACCAAAACATAGCTGTAAATCCAAAAGTTTAGGTTTTAATATGTGAACATCTTTTTTAAAAGAAGTAAATCTTTGATATGACTACAGGTTTAGTTTACAGATAATTTAGCTTTTTCTCAGTACTACTTATAAAGGTTTCCAGGGTCTGTGGCTTCAAAACAAGTAGGAATCTTGACTTTGGCATTCTGCCGGAATTCTTGTGGGCACACAAATACACATAACCAAGGCTTCAAGGGCCTTAAAAATATATATTTAATGATTTTCCTGATGTTTACAAGGGATGTCAATATCTGCGGACACATATTTTTGGTCAAATGGGACTAAATCTGCACATTGGAAGCGTTTTCTCTTAAGGAAAAAAACAAAAAAAAAACATCTCAATTCCAAATATTTTCCCCGTAAATATTAGTTGTCAAAAAGAAATTAAACAAGTTTTCACCCAAGTATTTAGTAAATGTTTAAAAGGTAATCATGCTAGTTTTCTCCAAAGCCGGAAACTATAAACACCAATCAGCATCTTTCGCTTCGTGCAAAATAATTATGATTTTAGTATTACCCACTAAAATAAAGACACACAACTTTCAACCATCCTCTTAAAATCATTGTGTCAGGAAATAACTGCAGTCCACTACATTATTTTAAGAAGTATTATTTTGATGTCATTATTGTGACAAATAATGATCCAAAGTCAAAGCACTGAGACCAGCACATACAAGATGATTGATCACAAACAATGAAACTAAGACTTATTTGGTCATTTTCATGATGAAAAAAATTATAAGCGAAAATAAAAAAAGGCTGGAATATTGAAAAACAAAGTTTAAAGTGAATAACATGCAAGTGGATCAACGTTTGAACACTGAATAGTGGTAAAAACAAATGCAAATAGGTGAAAAACATGATTCTTCCTCAGTTTTAAGTGATTTAACACTGTTCATTCACAACACTACCTTATATTTTGTACCTGAGATAGTAACATTATTTTTCTATTATTCTTATTTTAAGTAAAGACTTAAAGTGCAATTAAACTTTATTGAAGAAAACTTTCTAGATCCTTATTGACATAAATACAAACCTGAAATTCACCAAAGTTTAAATCCTCATTTAAGCAAATGACACTTAAGATGACCATGGCACTACTGTAAGTGCTTCTCAAAAGGCACATCTTAACAATTCAAATGCAAAAAAAAAAAAAGAAGAAGAAAGAAAAGATTAAAGGTGCTTAAATTTTATCAAGACTGTGTACATTTAGATAAGAAGGCAGCAAAAATAGTATTTTTCCTTTTCCTGATGTCTTCAATGTCTCTGACCACGTTCCTGCTTAAAGGCGATGATGAACTTCCAGGCTTCAACGTAATGGGACAGGCAGATTTCCTCTGGGAAGTGCTCCTCCACATCTGGAGGTATGTCCATGTCTTTTCGCTCCATGTAGGGCAACAGGGTGTCTTTTAAACTTTAGAAGAAAAGAATCATAACAATTTAAAACGAGGGTCTGGCAGAGCAAAAGTAAAACTTAACATAATACACAGTAGCTGAAACAATGGTCTAGATTAATATTATGACCAAGTTCTGTTTAGCTGACCCACTGATGTAGACTCTGCATGTTTTTTTTTTGTTTTTGTAGAAATGATGTCTGTTTTCCCAACAGGATATTTATAAATATACCAAATGCAAAGATTATCTTTAAGAAAATACTTTCTTGCTCAAGGTAGTGGTTTCCTGTGCAGAGCTGACTCTAGAATGTTTATTCTGTTATAGTGTACCGATACACCTCATTTCAATGTATGGCGTCATCTTAGTGTGGTTTCATCAGAATAATACAGTAAACGTGCTCAAAGTGTGTTACTGTGCCTCACAGACTTAGCAGTTTACTTCTCTTATGAAGTAGCCTTTTAGTCACACTTTTTTTATGTTTTCCTACAAATACCTAAAGCGTTGCAGTTGTTTTTGGATGGTAAAAGAGTTTCGATTGATAGAGAAAACCAGAATGTGTTGGATGAACAAGATCCAAAACACCCGGGTTCAAAAATCTACATGGTCTATACAATAAATATGCAAGTCACGACCAAATGAGACCAGAATAGTACTAAACTATCCTCAGTGGCTGTGACTGAACAGCGTAAGAGGACAGCAGACAGAAACAACTTAATGGAACCTTCATGAATAGATGACCAGATGGTCAAATCTAATAGACTAGAAGCCCTTATAATTACGTATATTTGCATTAACTTTTATTCGTGAAAGTTCTAGTAAAAATCTTTAGTTGTCAAATTATCACTGTGGTTTTCATTCATGCATCAATGTGTAAAAAAAAGTAATAAACTATATACAGAGAATGTATATTACCCCCAGTCAGGCCTGTAGGCATCTGGATCATTGTTCTTTCTGAGGACCAGAACCAAGAACTCATGCATCTCTAACAGGAAAGCGTCGGCGCTGTTCTTGGAGAAGAACGCAGTCAGTAGCCTGTGCTCTTCCTCACCCAGAGCCTGCTTGTATTTCTCTGAGACTCCTACAAATGGATCCTATTGAACACAGAAAAGGAATCAACTTCACATAGTTTATAGATTCCTCAATAGATTACCACCACTGGTAGTAAAGAAGCGGTAGTGACATCTTACCCTTTTCAGCCGTAGCATATTTTCAGATTTAAGCGAGGCCAGCAGCTGCCATAGGGCTACACAATGCTTTAGATAACACATGCTGAAAGCCTGTGGGCAGAAGTGGAGACCATTAACTCATGAGCACCTCATGCATAAGGCTGTACTGATGCTCACAGAGAATTACAGCCTCGAAGGTGGATAACAAAACAGTTCAGGAAGAACTTCTGTGTGTTTATGTATAAAACGTAACCAAACAGTCTTGCCTGCGGAAGAGAGATTGAACATGAAACCGATAATATATCCACTGTCTAAGATAAGCCGACCTTGACGATATGCTGAGCCATCTGGCTTCCCATCTGCAGCACCTCCTCCAGGTAGCAGGAAAGCTGCATGTGAGGCTCCCCTCCAGTCATGGCGAGGAAGCCGAGCGCCACTTCCAGCGTGGACAAGGCCTCGCACACCTCGCTGTAGGAGTGCAACTCCCCAGCCACAGAGAAGAGGGTGAGGGTCTGCAAGGGCTCCTGATAGAATTACAGGAAGTCATGTAGGTTTGAAGAGCAACTTTTAGAGGATGTGGGAAGAGCATGAAGTAAAAAATCTAAACTGATTGCTACATCAAAACCTGGCAAAAATAATCACATATATACACTTCAACTGAAGACAGTCTATGTAATATATTGGCTTTGTACAGGATAGACTAAGATCAGGAAGCAACACAGCTTTATCATTTTTTACAAATGATAAAGCTGTGTTCTTTAAAGTGTGAGCTGGTATTTACTGCTGCAAGTCTTTAAAGACAATGAAACATGATGAACAGATTCTAATTGGAATTCGGGTCTAAGTTTGAAAAGCCTCCCCACATCATGATTCTTCCACCAACCTGTTGCATTGTGGGGATATTCTATTCAAAGTGACATACAGTGTTAGTTTTCTTTCACGTGGCTTGTTGCAAATGCCAAAAAGGACTTAAGAGCACTTGGGATTTTGCTTTTTTACCCAATCCTGTTTTATAATTTAAAAAAAATATATCTATGATTTGGCCTGTGCATCCCTAGCTCTTGATGATCCTGTTTGTTCACTAATGTTTTGAAGCAAAACTCTAAGTTCTTCACAGAACAGCAGGTTTTCTTGCAATGGATTTTTTTATGGAGTAAATGACTTACTTGCTTGACTTTGGCTTTAACATCTCTGATGATTATCTCATAGTTGCGATCGTGTCGGTTGACCAGTGTAGGAATGCCCTGCAGAAAGCAGACATGGATACCAGGGTTATAAACGTATGTAAACATTCATAAAAATGTGCTATAATTATGTTTTGCATGTATTTACATTGAGAGTGATGAGGGGTTTTCCCAGTAGGAAGTGAGAGACGATCTGCTGCTGTATCTTAGGCAGATCATATTCATAAAGGGTCTCCTGGCCCTTCTCGATGCTGTACTGGGTATTGGACAGTACCAGGGGCATTAAGTCCCGCTCCAGCTCATAACGAATCACATGCAGATCGGTAAGATCGGCGGGGCTAACTTTGTAGCTGCAAATAAATACATGAAAATATTTAGCCAAGAGATGCGGCGAGTTAGTAAACATCTACTCTCATATCAGATGATTTACTTACACTGGAAAAAATCAAAATCTAGACAACTCATTTTTTTTTTTTTTTTTTCTTAAAAAAAAGTGCATCTGTTCTTGGATTGAGGAGGTGAAAGAGATATTTTGCCAATGGAACAAAACAATTCACATTAAAAATAAGAAAACACAAGTGCATCATCTTATTTCAAGTGCATAATATCTAATTATCTTATTTTAAAAGTAAAACTACTAACTCCATTTGCAAATCAGCTTATTTACCTGCTCAAATTAAGGGTAAATACAATTAATTTAAGATTTTTTTTCTTATTTATAGATGTTTTTTCCAGTGTAAGCATCTAAAACACAGGATGAATAAGCAGGATAAGTATCCAAACAAGCAAAAATGTGGCAAGAGCGCCCTCACCTGGTCTCCTCCCCAGTATGCTTGTCCATGCAATAGATGATGTCATTGTGCAGAGCAATAAGGTAGCTGATAAGAGCTGTGGAGCAGAGGCCTGCACCCTGTCGCTGAGGTAGAAGAACCTTGAAGCTGCTGTTTAGGTCCAGGTCCCCCTGGCAGAACTCATTTGGGATCTTAATCTCACCTAAAGAGCATTTTTCAACCACGTTAGACTGTTAGTTTATACTTGGAGTGGGTTTACTTGCTGAAGGTGTTTGTGTTTACCATTGGTTGCCAGAGACACTCTAAGCTGGTTCCAGGTTGTTAAGAAGATGTTGATGTATTTTTCATACCAGGCTTTAAGGGTAGCTGCCACCGGAGAGAAAGCAGGAAAGTTTCAGGGAGACTGGAGCCATTATTGTATGCAGACTGACCACAGCATATTTACACAATCTGTACAGGACTTTTTTTTTTTTTTATCTTTAAAAATACATTGTCTTATTTTAGGCTAAAATAACCCATTTCCTTCTAGACAAGACCACAAAATGTTTCTAACCAGGTCATTAAAATAAAGATTCATTTATAGGTCTATGAAAATAAAATGCTGCATGCATCCAAGTCGTGCGGTTTGAAGGAGCAAGTCAGTGCGTTTGGACGGTCTCAATACCTGCTTTCTGAGTTTGAAGAAATTCACCGATGGTTTCATAAGTCAGCTCGCTGACGTTCTGAAAGTTCTTCACCAGATCCTTTTGCAGTGTGAGGATGTCAGGGAGGTTCTTCACCAGCCGAAGTTCTGCTTCCTACAAAAACAAATTCCAGCTGGTTAGAAAAACCCATCCTGGTCTTTATTAAGGAGCAAACTTTCTGGCAAGTTTTAGTCTATTGGACCAACATGCCTGTTAGTCTTAGTCACATTTTAATGATTTTTATAAGCAAATGTTTTAGTCAAATTTTGGTAAACTCAAAAAGGTTTTAGTCAAATACAGAACAGAAATCTGAGGGGAGAGCCAAGGAGATGATCCAGGAATCTGGATCTGGACCCGGGCTGTCCAAAGTCAGCACTCAGGGTCTTTAGTGAAAATCAGCTGAGCCATGGGAACATCTAAAACATGCAGGACAATGGCTCTAGAGCAGGGATCTTCAATGTTTTCGAGGTCAAAGACCCCCAAACTGATGGAGAGATGGGGCGGGGACCCCTAATTATATGTATTGTTTGAATATGTATTATATCAAACTAGTCCTAAAATCACTCTATTAGATATGGAGTAATGTAACGAAAGTAATTTTCGCCCTGGGATTATTAAAGTATTTTCTGATTAGGGTTGGGTATTTTAGCCAAAGTCCTGAATCGATTCGATTTCTGTTTTTACAATAATGAAAGTGGTTCAACTGTGTTTCAAAATACTCATATATTTAATTTTTTTTCCTTTCATATTAAACACAAAAATTCAAACTTGTAAATCAGACAGTTTAAACTTGTGATGTGAACTAAACTGTCTCAAAAGTGCAAACTTGTTTGTGAAAAGTGAAGCCTCACACGAGCAGGCAGATGTGACACAGCGGGGACACAGGAGACATGCATGAGCTGCATTGTCTTCACTGCGCAAATCATATTTGCAGCGTTGTCTTTAAGGACTACAGGTTGTTTTCTGGTCAGCCCCCATTTGTTAATGTCTTCAGTCAACCTATTGGCTATATTTGCAGCTCTCTGGCTGACTCATAATCTGGGTGGTCTGTAGCATGAGATGTGAGGCGCCAATCATTATCAATGTAGAGAGAAGTCACCCTAATGTCACATATCCAGCACATTATCTTTAGCTGTTTTAAATCCAAAATGGTTCCAGACATCAGACTTCAGTTGGGACAGCTTACTGAGCGGTGTGTTGGGTCGGCATTTGCACAGGCCTGCTCATTTGAATGTGAACGTCACGCGCGTCACTATAAAACTAATCGATCTCATTCCCTAAACATCGATTTTGAAAAAATGTAAAGGAATCGATCTAAAGTCGATTAAATCGATGTTTTCACCCAGCCCTATTTCTGATTCTGATTCCTGGTTGATGTGTCAGGTATTGTGAATGAAACGGTGCCCAGGTTGAAAGAGCTCCTGTGTGTCGCTGAATGTGTGCATTGATGACTGAAAGACATCTTCTGCCTCCATTTATCTGTCTACTACAGTCTGTTGAATTCATGTTAATGTGTATTTAAAGACATTTCAATTGGTGGAAAAAATTGCAGGGGGGAATATAAAAAAAAAAACCTTTGCGACACCCATGCAGTTCCTCCATGGACCCCCTAGAGGTCAGGGACCCCCTGTCGAAGACCTCCGCTCTAGAGGGCTGACTTTAAAGGATAATGCAGAGAAAATGACAGCTCTCTTACTTTCTCTCCATCTTCCAAACTTGTGATGTGTTTGGATGAAGATTAAATGCTCTTGTATTTTGAAAAAAGGGTTTATTCAAACTATTCCATTAAATTCCGTAAAAGTTTAAAAAACAATCCACTGGACTTGGTTTCCAAGGTTTTTATTAAATATTTGATCTGAACCCAATAGATTAAGTGTGGTCAAGCTAGGGGGTTACCATGCATTGGGTATCGTAAGAGAAGTTCCTCTAAAGATTGCATGTTTTGCCCGTGTTCTCCTACCTTGTGCAGAAATCTCCACAGCACAGGGACAGTATCTTTGCCGTCATTTTGCTCTACGATGTGAGACAGGCTCAGGATAGACACTTTCTCTCTGCAGCTCCACACGGCAGAACAGTGGAGCGGAGAGTTTGCCGGCAGGGAGGCCAAGAAGAGCTGAGGGTCACCAAACACCAGCTTCATGATGGGGTTGGCAGAGATGCGAGAGTCTGCCCGGATAAAGTTGTTCACCTCTTTCAGCTGTCTATCCAGGTGCTGTGAAAGAGAACATAACAGAAGACAACATGTTTTGCTTAAACCCCTCATTAACATGGGCAACATCATAACCTTCGGAATCAAATTGTTTGATTAGTACCTTCAGCAGAGGTGTGATGACAGCATTGCTCATTTCCAACTCCCATCCGTTTCTGGCTTCTTTATTTGAAAGCAGATTGTCATAAGGAACCGGCCCTTAAAAGGAAGCACAAAAAGAATTAAACCAGCCTCACTAGAGTTAATAGCATGTCAGCAAACAAAACCAGAAAAAAAGAAAAATACATTTAACACTAAATATTTTTGAAGTGTATGGAACCATCAGGATTGTTGCTCACATTTCTGTTGCTGGTGGGGGCTCAGTAAGCTGCTGATTACCAGGTGAACTGCTGTGATTGTGTCATCAGTCCCTTTCCCCAGAGACCTTATCAGATGTTCAATATCTTTTCTCAGGTGGGCAAGTAGGAACGGAGCAGGTTCTCTAACTGGAGGTTTGATGATTGCTGAGATATACTGAAAGTGCAACCGTATTAATGAAGAGATAAATTAACCAGGAATACTGCGATCACAATGTGTAAACGTTCTGTTCCTTTTTAGCCAAACCTTTGTTTGATCTTCAAAAATATTCAAATGTTATTTAATTTCTGTGATTCTAGATCTAACTTATTTTGGAGAATTGTATTTTAGTTTCATTTTTTTTGCATATTTTATTTGCTCCTAAAGTTTTTGACATCATTATTTATCTATTAAAGTAGTTTGTAAAATTAATTTATAATCTGATCACAAAGTACATTTTTGGACTTTTGAAATTTCAATTATTTGCTCTTAAATGTAGAAAGTTTCATTATTTACTACATTTTACACAGATTTTTCTTCTAGACGCCAAATAATTGTATTTACTTAGATAAATATCTGCTGTGATTTATGTTTGCATTCTAATTTCTTTGATTTTAAATGCTATAAATCACAGAAAGTGGTGGATAAGATCTGACTGTTACCTGTGTTTGTCCACAGGCCCCGAGAAGCATTGCCATGTGGGTTAGCATTCGGACAACATTAAAAGGGACGGGCGAAATATTCTTCGTGTCCAGCATATCGGGATTGTCCCGCCGACTTGGATCACCAAGGATGTGGCCTGTCTGGGTGCGGTCACCTCTTCAGGGAGACGTGGAAAAAAGGAAAAACTTTACACAAATATCTATTGTCTTTGTACAATTTGTCTTGGATTTTGGAAAGCCCTTACTGTATCTGAAGACGCTGGAATCCCTGCAATGGCGCATGGTTGTTTCCTCCAATCATTTCACCACAGTCTACGCAGCGACTTGTTTGCATTGGCTGGCCACACTGGAGAACACAAGTTCCAAAAATGTAAAAAAAAAATGAAGATAAAACATTGCAAGACTTTTTAAATGTTACCAATCTGATAGAGTACAACATACCTCCCCAATGGTGCAAGGATGACCATTTGGACAACCTGTGTGGCAAAGAGAAATAACTCAATGTTTATCACTTTGATGTATAATATCTTTACCAAATGCAAACAGTCTTTACAGTACTTACGGTACCAGTGCAGACCTCCCAGAGCTTGTTGAGCTACTGCTACCATATCCTCTGGCATAGAAGGCAAAAAAGCAGCCTGGAAAACCAATATAATAATGTGTCAAATTTATTTCAAAGAACCAGTGATAGTAATGATGACAGAAAACAGCTTTTACACAAACCTGCATGTTGGCAGGTGTCAATGCCAGCTGCTGAAGGGGAGCTAAGATCCCTTGGTTCCCACAGAGCAGCACGGCAGCTAAGTGAACACTTAATTCCACTGCCACACTGTTGGCCGCGGACATGCCGGGTCGAACAGAGAGAGGCCCCATTGTGTTGTTCACCAGGCCCTGGGCAAAGGCCTTCAGTTCTGCACTGGTAAGTATGCTGGACTTCTGAATGTAAGCTTCAAGAGCCTCAAGTTGCTGTTGGTGCAATTTATAACATACATCTGTTATTTAGTTATACTTTCAAATATGTTTACATTTGTATTTTACATTTGAGTGTTAACAGCTATGCAAGTCTAATGGGTCTCGCAAAGGTATTTGAAAACACAACGTTTCAAAGTTTAACCACATTACAACCAAATTCAAAATTAATTTATGCATTTTATAAGATAGAAAAATAAGGAGAAGGGCTATACTGTTTTTATGTCTTTTACATGGTATGTAAATTGGTTTTGGTTTTAGACATCATCTGAATCTACTAAATTAATTAGAGAGCAACAGTCTTCTGAAGTTACATCTTAGCAAACAGAATCCCTCTCTTGCTAATTAAATTTTATTATAAACACAGCTGTTCTGCAAAAGCCTGGGTTTAATTTCAAACCATTATTGAATGAAAATGTTTTGATATAACTGCAAACCATCAAAGCTTCAGCACAAAGAGTTTTTTTTTTTTTTTTAACCATTATTACAGACTATATATTGCTCTGATCTAAAACTTAATGCAGGAATCTGAAATGGTTGCTAATAGATGCTCTCCATCAAATCTGATTGAACTTGAGCTTTTCTTAGTTAAATGGACGTAGACTTTGTTTGCTAACTTTGAAGATTTAGAAACTAGAGTCCCTAAACGAGGTGTAGCTTTGATTTCTTATTGTAAAGGTGATTATGCAAAGTGTTGATTTAGCAAAAAACACATCTAGGACTTTTCAGGTTTTATATGCAATAAAAGTAGAAATACATGCATCATTTTCCATTCACTTGATATTTTTGTGCTTTTTTTTGTTAAAATATTCTAAAAGAGGTATGAATACAGGCACTGCATATGAACAATGATATTTTCATGTTGCCTTTTGACAAATTTAGGAAGTACCTGCGGCTTGGGATGAAAGCCCTCATTAGGTTTGCCATACAGAGTGGTGATTTCTCTAAACAGTGCTAACAGAACGTAAACAGCTTTCAGTTGTAGTGGAGATTTGCAGCCCTGAAGTGAAACAAAAGAGCATGGAGATATTCATAAACCAAACATAGAAATCAGTCCCAAACTGAAACTAAATCAATGAGGAGTAACATTACCTCACAGGCGACGTCTAGCCCTTCTACTTTACCCTCCATAACGATCTTTGCAACACCTTCTCTGATTGTCTTGTAGTCTTCTCCGTACACAAGATAGAGATCTACTGGGGGGGTCTCTTCATCCTGGGTGCAGTAAAATTTAAACACATTAACAATCGCTATTGTGGATCGTTTTGGAAATTTAAGAAATAGGAAACCCACTGAACCTGTGTTTGAACTTCTTCAGGGAAGAGCCAGCCCATCTGAGCCTTCCTTTGAATTTTCTGGACAAACTCCACACCGTGTTGTCTGCAGATCTTACGGATCAAGTAGACACGATACCAGTCATTCCCACTCCGCCTGCACAGGTTTATCACACTGTCCAGAAAAGCCATAGTTTCATTTTGTCCGACTTCAGAAGAGCCTGGAGGAAGTTTAAAAAGGACACAAGAGGTTTAATGAACACATTAAAAGTAAAACCTTTAAAATCCTCATTGTTGTGCTTCATAAAAAAAAACATTAAAACACACCAGCTGCTCTCAGTTTTTCTATAATCAGGTTAGCAGTCATATCCAGGTCCATGCGCACTCTGGCCACCTGCTGCAGGTACTCCATGCTCGGCTTTTCAGTACACTGACGTGTTTGCAGGTACTCAGTCAGAAAGGCACTTTCATTTGCTAAATACGCCTTCTTATCTGCAGCACACCTGAACTGGAGCCTCTCAAACATGGAATCCTGGAAAGAATGAAAAGATTTACTAAAAATAATAACACTATTCAATGCACTTCAAAATTACTGACATCCATATGCAGCTTTTTACCTCTAGACAGTTGATGTACAAGCAGTAGAGTTCAGTTTTGTCTGTCTCCTCCAAGATGTTGCTCTGCTCAACAGCCACCAGATGCTGCTGCAGGTATTCTTTTACTTCATCAAAGCTACAAAAAAGTTAGACACATGAGAAATACCAACACATATGGCAGACTCTGCACCTTATTGGCACATAAGTACAGATGTGCAAAAGGAGTTGAAACATTTAAATATTTATTTCAGCATCATGTCATAGTCTTTAGTTTGAGAATACTGGTCAAAAGAATGAGTTCAGAAATAATAGTTCACTACTGTAAGGTTATTTTGACCACTTAAAAAAAAATCTGTAAAATAACAACCGTATAATTCTTTAGATTTATACTTTGCTTTGTTTAAAACATATTTCTAGATGGTCCAAATTTATCCCGTGACTTTGTTCTTTATATGACGTGACAAAGAGGACCCTCTCTTAGTCAATCAGCAACATTGGAAGAGAAGATTTCACGTGTTTCTTCAAAAGTCATTTTATGTGCACATAAAAAGCATCAAAACGGAGGTGCAACAAATTAACACATACATAATTTAGAAAAACAAATATTAGATATTTTACACACCCAATAAATGTACTGTATTTAGAATTGACTATTCTAAAAATTCTGGATTATATATTTATTTTTTTAAGTGTTTAGACCTCTGCAAATAATACATATGAGTGTAAAGGAGACTGCATATAAAAAGCATACAAAAATAATACAACTACAGTATAATTATCATAAAGTCATCACAACAATCTCACCTATACTTCATCAGAAGTTTGAGCACTACTGAGCGAATAACAGGATTTTTATCAACAGAGTCATCAAATGGAGAGAGCACTTTTGTCAGCATTTGTGGAGTTTCTGAAAAAGAAATAAAAGAAAAAATTGTTTTTTTCAGATTTCACAAACAGTCATGGAAACAGTGACATAAACTACGGAGTAGGGTGTTAAGACAGTACTTCTGATGATTGGAACTGGGCCGGCCCGCACCATCAGGAAAGACAGCAAATGAAGAATGACTGCTGAACACGGTGGAGAGTTGTCCTTGAAGCACACGGTAGACACCAGATCTATGAAAAAAGCGTTGCACCTCTTCCTGAACGCAACATGCTGGTTGACAAGAATCCTAAATAAAACAAGACATTCATTGAGCTTAATCTCTTAATGTCCATGCTGACAAATCCTCTAAAACAATAAAGCTTTTTAAATTCAAACAATCAAATTAGTCACCTGATTTCATTTGAGGGAACCAAAGGGTAGTCTTCTTGAACTGGCTCTATACAAAGTGGACAGAACATCTGACCAGGGATCAGCCACTTTTTGATACAGGCTACACAGTAGATGTGTTTACATGAAAGGCAGAGAGGATCTTGAGGGTCTCCCATGCAAATCGGACACAGAATGTCGCCAAACCTGGACACGGAAAATACAAACCTAATCAGAAAAGCCACGTCACATTCAAGAAATACAACGATTTAATATTAAATATCCACTTTAGAATCTTTTTAATAACATATTTCGAATGAAGATGTACTGTTTAGAGTAGGACAAGCATTTCCTAAATAAAAAAGGTCCGTTTTAGAGACTTCAAAAAGAGGCAAACAAAGAGCAGGGGTGTGTTCAAAACAAAAAAAAAGCTGATTTTACAACTGAATTGATTATCATATTAATTCCTAAAAATCAATTCATATAATCAAATGTTCATTAATAAAAAAGGAACAGCCACTATTAACTATTTCTAATTTACTAATTTGTGGTTGAATGTTAATATTAATACTATTATCCATATACAATTATTGCATAACTTACAGACATGGAAATTCAGGTAACAACTTAAAAAACATTTCAATACCAGCAATTCCATTTGAAACCAGACAAGATAAGATTAGATTTAAAAGAAGAATTCTTGAGAATCAGAACTGAACTAATTCTTGAAAATGTTTATCCATGTCTAGCCTGAGCAAAGACTATAAATAAATTAGACACTTTGCTTCACCTTTAATGTATTTTACTGATTTGATTAAAAAGCAAATTAAGAGAGTTAAACAGATTTATTGAAATTAGCTTCAATTTTAGAACTGGAAAGGATTCAACAATAGAATCCAAATTAAATTCTTTCCTATCATTTAGCAGCCCAAAGTTCCTGTCATCCATCGCAGATTATTTTCGACCATTATTATTTGAAATCCATAACAGTAAAATATATGGCAATATTGATATCTACCTGAAAATACGCTCCACGGCTCCATCTTTGCAACTTTTCAGTAAAACAATTACTGCCTCGAAAATCTGCTGGGTTTTGATGTCCGAATTTCTTTCAAGAATCTTGATAGAAAAGATAAATTGGAATCATTAGTTTCAATGGGGAAGATTATAAAGCAGCAGGTTTTACACTATCAATCTTCTTCGGAAAATGCAACCGAGAGATAAGAACCTTGCCAAGCCCTTGTGTGCTCTCCAACACTAAAGGCGTGAGTTTCTGGTCCAACTGTTCAATTCCCAGCAACATGTGCTCCACAAACAAAGAGAGAGAAAAGATACGATTCCATCCGGATCTAAATAAAAAGAAGCACAGTGATTGTTTCCCTGTAGTCTGTGCATTTAGATGATAAACTTTACATTGTATTATGATTTTCTTTAACTTACTGGACTCTGTTGACGATCGTCTTGCTTCTCTCTCCATATTGCCTCACACTGTCTTCTGAACAGATCAGTTCAATAGGAACCTGGAGTTTTTTCACCTGCCGGAGCCACGCTTGTCTTTGAGCATCACTGTTCAGCATTCTGGGCTCCAGGTGCTCCAAACATGCAAAAGCGGCATAAATGTCGAGGACCTTGCAGGAAAACAATATAAGTTTCAAGATTTTAAGGACAAAAGTCTGATGACTAGTGAAAAAATAATATTGGGCAAGTTGAGACCTACAAGTTCATCATGGTCTCCTGCATGTGGATTCCCTAGGAGGTCCTTTGTAACCTGGGGTTGGATGCACATCATTCTGGAGAGGTTCTGCAGCCGATTTTTGAACTTGTGGTAAGCAGCATGAACCCATGGAAGAGCCGTCCCTTTCTCAGTGTCATTAAGCTGTATTCGTAGTTCAGTGACACAACTGTTCAAGGCACCACGGAGGAGCTGGAAGAGCAGATCACTGGCTTTAATACAACATGTGTTAAACTTTCTCAGAGAAAGTGATATCATAGGAAATCAAGTAAAATAAAGTCAACCTGCAGATCTTCAGCAGACGTGACATTCATGGACATGCAGATGAAATCTTGAAGGTAGCGATGGTAAAACTCCATCTGAGTCTGAGAGTCTGCTTTCTCAATGTAAAGCCCAACTGGTGTTTTCCAAAAGAGCTCAACTAATTTTAAATGAGTGTGTCCTGTGAAACATATTAATCAAGTTTAATACAACTATGTACAAATTATGTTTATCTACATAAATTAACTGGTACCTTCATTCTGTATGGAATGGATGCAAAGTTCCTCCAAATAATCCCTTATTCTCCAGCTGAAGGGCATTGTGCAACCAATGTTCTTGTCTTGAGCCATATAGTTCTGCACAAGGATTGTTCTTGTCTCAGAGCTGACCAAAGGTATAAATATAAAAAGGTAAGCATTATGTTACAGTTAATGTTATCATAAAATAATAATGCGGCTTGAACCAACCTGGGGTCCATCGTTAGGTGTGAGATTTCCAGCAGTTTTTGATTGCTAAAGATATCCAACCACAATCTCTTTACTGACTCGGGGCAATTCTTATCGAGCAGGAGATCCATGTTTTGGTCTCTGTCAATCACTGAAATTAGATGCGCGAACATTGGGACGACCACGGCCTGAACACGCTTCCATAAGGTGTGCCTGAAATGATTGCAGAACAAATAAGCAACCGATCTTAGCAAACACCGTTTTCTGAGATTATTTGAATTACCTGAAAGTGCCTCCCTCCTGCAAGGCATCAATGTTTGAAGCCTCTTTAAGGACCCAGTTGCTCTTAATAAATGTGTTCCCATCATGAATCAGTAACAAGGAGTGAAGACGCTTCTTGATCGTTTGTAGAAATTCATCTGATGAAAGAGAAATTGACAAGTACTGTGGGTGTACACTAGATTAACATCAATAATAATATTAAACACGCAAACAAAAATGTGCACCAACAATGGGCAGAAACTTATGCCATCAGAAAGTGAATTTTAACTATTGTAATTTGAAATTAAATGCATTCGTTTAAAGAGAAAATTCACAAAATTTTAAAAAGCTGGAGTCTATTAGTAGCTACAATTTATTATTATTAGTAATTGGTTTTGTAGAAATGTTTGTATATTTAACCAAAAGTTTGGTCATGGGTAAACTCTAGAACGATTAAGTTGGTCAGAAGCTGAAAAGTTTGGGAATCTCTGGTCTAGAGAGGCACATAAAGAGGCTTATGGTGCTAAAATTTCAATTAAAATGACAAACTTTTAACTACAGCTCCCAGCATCCCATGCAGCTGTGACATCAACGACGGTCCCAGCAAGCATTGTGGCTCCATTCATCGAACTGCTGGAACATATCTTCCCCTATTTAACCCTCTACTGTGCTGCTGAAGAGGGATGCCTAAGTAGGCTGAACGCCACCTTCACCCATGGTGAACACCCCTGATGGCTCACCTTTGTTAGATGAAACTGCTGCCCGTTGCCCTGTGATTTGGAGCCCTGACCTTCAAAGACAGTGATTCTGCAAGGTGTCCTTTTTTTTCGTCTGTTCGATTTAGAGAGGAGAGCTCTGCCTTTTAGTCGATTGACAAGCAGCCCCGATTGCTTTAACAAGACTGTTACCGCTATCCCCTACTGCGCTGTACACCAGATGAGACAGAAGTACCACCGGAAGTACCACCAGCCACCTGTCGCAGGAGCCCGGCTTCCGTTATTCTGCCCTGTGGATTTTCTTTCTTGCCTGTACATGTCCCTACTGTTCCTCTCAAGGGTTGCCAAAGGTTTTCAGAGGACTCTGAAAAATCTACATTCCCCTTCAAGGACCCGTGTGACCCATTCTCCCACAGGAGAGTAGGGGTGTGGGGAAAAAATCCTTTTGGTGATATATCGTGATTTATCTGTAGTTGAGGCAGTCATAGTGGTAGACGTAGATGGACTCAAACCCAAAACAACATGCATACCAAAACAACTCAATGATCAATATCTTCTGATAAACACATGAAGCACCTGCTTTTTCATCAATATACAATATCACAATATATAGGAACATTGAAATACTATAATAATATCTTATTGTGACTCAAATATTGTGACTTCTACGCCAATACTCACCCCTACAGGAGAGAGCAAGAAAAGCACAGAAAAAAACAGTAATTTCTCTCTAGATACACCTGGTCAGACTTTATTAAGCAGTAGGTTTAATGCTGACATTTGCTCCAAAAAGAGCATACTTAAAATGTCTGTTTGAGGTTTCATTGTTTGAATATCAGCATTTTACTGTATGGTGTTGGTTTCTGAGAAGAGGTTGCACTGACTGCCATTATTCTGAGCCATTGTTCTCCGTCACCTTTCTTCCTCACTTTGCCTCTTGCAGGCTTTTATTTAATCTAATCCATCCCTCTTTTTGGCCTGTTGAAGATAACCATTGTTAGGTGGTTCACCTTTTGCTCTGGTCCTTTCTTTCTTGCCCTGCGGCCTGTTGAAGTTTTTCCAAAAATAGCTAAAAAAACTAGAATCATTTACTTTTTTTCCTCTCATCTCATTTCAAAACACACAAAAGGTGTGATAATACATTTACCTTGAAGACAAACAGTTTTATCAACACAGTGACAAAGAGAGGTTTTCTATACCTTTTATCTCATCTTTGTCATCTTTGTCATTCAGGAGAGTCAGAAGGATCTCAACCCTTCGAGTACTGCGGAAGCCGGTTGTCACTTGGTCCCTTAGCATGCCAACAGCAGTCTGCACACAGCTCCGCAGCAATGCTGTAGTGTCTACAACATTATCCAAGCCCTTCAAAAAGAAGAGAGACATGTGAACTAATTTTAACATTTATACTGCACAAATGCAAACATAAAGGAGCACTATTAATCATATAATGCGTTTCTTTTGGTTAATTGCATTTAAATAATAACCATATTTTTTTAAATACAACTGTATGCATTAGTTTTATCTAAAAATGGGAGAGTGTCTATACTTACGCTTTCTTCCAACTCTTGGTGTTCACTCTCTGTGTACATGTCATCGGTCTCCATGGCTGTAAAGAACAAGAAGATGTACAGTGCAATGCATGTAGGCAAACATGTTAATTACTCTGAACATTATTTTACCTTCAAGTTGAGCCTCTTTAGTTTCAAACATTTGACTGATTTTCATGTTTTGCAGGGTCTTGATGTCTGAAACAATATCTTTTGACCTTCTGAGGTCATCTATATGAACTGATTTCCATGGGCCTGAAAGAATAGTGATGTCTTGGATTATTTTCTTTTCAAACAGAAAAGGAAAGGATTAAAAATGGTAATAGACCTACCTCCATGAAAACCAATGTAAGAGGTCCCTCCCTCCATTCTTGGCAACCTTGTGATGAAGTACACAAAGACCTTGCTTCCTGTGATCTCATGAGTTATTTTGTTAATCTCATTTAGAGATGAGTACCTGAGAATTGAATGAAAAAAATCAATATGTTAAGACAAGATGTTGATGAAATTCACACAAAAAAAGGAATAATCATCTTACTTGGCTGATGCAATGAGGTTGGTGCTCTTAGAGGGTTCATCAAAATTACACTGAATGATGAGGATTCGGTTGCAAGCCCCAGTGCCCCCATGTTCAGCTGTCAGGAAGTTCCTTTAATAAACCAAGAATGTGATATTTTAAAATATGAAGTGATGTGGAAAAGTTTTAACAATACTTGTTAAAATAGCTGTCAAATCTTTAAACATCAATAAACAGAAGTCTAAAAGCATATTTCTATGTGAAAATTGTTGTACATAACAGTGCACCCCTTGTGGGACTTGGGCTCCCATACAGTATATGTTCCTCAAAAGAAATGTTGGTATCAATACTTTGCAAAGTAAAAACAAAAAAATGTGACTGAGCAGAAAGGGTCAAGTGTTTATTTGTGTTATCATTGATTTGTGTCTAAAGTTCAAAGTTTGAAGATTTATTGTGATTTTCCGATTGACGTGTTTTATGACCAGGGTAACTGCTATTAGCATTAAAAGGAAATAAGTAGCAACATCTTCACAAGAAGTGGTTACCTAGTACTGCTTATAAAATGGTTGAATGAGAGGCAATTTACCTTATCTTCTTTAGGAAGGAGTGCTCTGTGTCAAATTGTTGGAGAGAGAGGAGCTCAACACTATGAAACATTTTCTCCAGAGGTTCCATGTCAAAGGCCGTCAAAAGTCTGGAGAATGTAGTCACCTAAAATTTGACATCCATGTTAGATCTCATAATCCTGAGAAAACAAAGACTTATAAAGGGTCAAGAAGCATTACCTCTGTGAATAATGTGCTGCTTTTGGTTTCTTGTCTTGTGTGATGATGGATGTAGTCAGCTAAACAGCTGTTGCTCTGTTCTTCAAAGTATACCTTAGCCATATGCTGACTTTCAACTTTTGGTAGGTGTGTGCAATCCAATCGAACAACTGAGTCTGGTGTAGCACATTTGAGAAGTATGAGTTTCGCCTGATCAAGCAGTCTGCCCTGAGAATCAGATGTTTCCAAATTGTCCTTCTGCTCCTCTATCACTTTAAGAATCACTGAAGCACAGGTGTCTGAGTGGTAACCAATGAAAACATCAGGGAGTGTGTACTTGTATGGCACAACTGCCCCAGCATGCTGATCACTAAGAGAGGTAAAAAGCTTAGCCCATTTCTCCAATTCTTCTACCATCTTCTTCTGCTCAGCTTTAAGGACTGTGTGGATGTCAAGGTAGTGTTTCTCCAACCTGTTGATTAAAGGGATCGGGAATTGTTTGTAGACAACTTCTCTTTCCTCAATAACAATTAGCCGGAAGTCTTTGTGCACCCTGCATTTTACTCGATGGGTTCCCAAACCAAGATCGACATATTTCTGTCCTCCTAAGCAAACATAGTACTGGTTGAGAGCATCATAGAGACTTTCATAGAGGTTCTGTAAGTTTAGAAGGACAACTGTTTGACCAGTTTCCATGCATATCTTCACTCTGTTAATGTTGCGACAGATTTGGGTGTATTCTTGGTCTTTTGGAAAGCTAGATCCAAAGAGTATTTCTGGTTGACCACTTTCTGAAAAGAATGTTTGCTGCAGAATAGATAGGGCAGCATAGTTTTTTGTTAGCACAAGGAGGTATCGACACTCTTCCTCTTGTCCAACTGCTTGAATGTTTGCTTTCACAAATTCAATTGTGTTAATGTTCTCCAGATTTGGTGTAACGTTAAGTCTTTTGGAAAAGACAGAAACAGCATCCACGTCATCCTTACCGCTGAAATTTCTCAACACAGCCTTGACAATCTCATCTGGTGTGGGCTTTCTTTGAGAGGTCTTAGCCACGGCAAAGATCATCTTAATCAAGCTGTAATAGTCACGTAAGCCAAAGAAACCTTTCCCTTGTTTCCGACAAATGTTCAAGTAGGATCTTGCAAAAGGTTTAAAGAAATCCCTCACTCTCTCCAAAACCATAACATCAGAGGAGCATATGCCTTTAGCACTCTCAATGAGTTCTTTCTCATCAGGGTCACCTCGTGAGACAAAAATGCCTCTGTTCATCTTTGCAGGGTCTAGTGCCCAGTTGGAAATACCAATAAATCCAACCTTTTTGTGTGGCAGTGGTTCATCATCAATGCAACCCTCTTCAAGCAATGGGTGAAGAGTTTTTAGAGGCATCTTTGGAGAGTCCTCTGCCAGCCCAATTTCATCAAGAACCACAACTGAAATGTATTCATTGAGGTTTTTCCCTTCCTGAAAGCGCCCACATTGCCTGAAAGTGTTGATGATGCCTTCTGGAGTTGAGTGTGGGCTACACTGGAAGGACACCAAATGGATCTGTTTGAGCATCTTATAGAGGTCAGAATGAGCAGCTTGACCCTGCATGGCATCTGCTACTAGAGTTTTGGAAAGGGACTTGGAGCTTCCGGGTTTTCCCACTAAGAAGAGGGGGATTCTTAACTCAATACAGAGAACCATCATGAAGACATTCTCTTTAAGGGCGCTGTTTCTTGCGATAGTATCTCCCATTGGAACACCACTCAACAGTAGATCTTGCATGAGTGAAATTTCTTGCATAACCCTCGCTGGTGTGTATGTTGGTAACTGGCTGCTGATTTTCTGTCTGTATTTATCTTTATCTTCAAGGCAGGCATGGTAGCACACTCCTATAGCCATGACAAGGGACCAGAGAACTGGATCTTTAACTTCAGGCTGTTGGTGATGCCCTTCACTTCCTTCGTTGTTTTGATTACTCTTAAATTTCTGAAGCTCTGAAAAGAACATTTCATGGTGGTCATGGAACCAAACAAAAGCTTGCATGCAGCGTTCCACATCTCTCAAGCTGACAAAGCTACATTCATCCTTTCTGTTCCTCATGTACTTCTGAGAGGCTGAGAGGACATTTGTGATACACTGGATGTAATCTTGTTGTATTTCTTTGCTTGTAGTGACTCTCTGCACTATCTGCTGAATGTAAGTTTTTTCTGTTTGGTCATTCAACTGTCCAAAGTCCCATACTAGAGGAATCATGCTTGGTGGCAAAGCTTGAACTCTATACACAAGCTGGCGCAAAGGTATAGACCCTAGTTTTTCATCAGTCTCTTCTGCCCGAACTCTGTACCCAAGGCCAGCAGATTCCAACCTTTGAATCATGTCATCTGTGTGCTTTCTGTAAGGATTGCATGCAGCAATGATCTGCAACCCTGAGTGGGGTGTTAAATGTTCTCCTTTTACAGTCTTGTCACAGAGGACCTCCTTAATACTGCTGATAGCCTCTGTAGTATTGGCCTCATCAAAGAAGAGGACAGAGTCAAATCCGTAGTCTTGCTTGTTGATAGAAGCAATGACTTCTGCTTCTTTGACTTTACTATAGATCATCTCTGATGTTGTCCCTCCGTGCACCTTGACCAGTTTCATGTTTTCAGTTGCGACTCCACTCCTTCGCAATTCACAGAGGAATTTGATCAGCCTGGTTTTACCACATCCTGTCTCTCCCATTACGATCACAGGTATGCCACATCTGAACCTCATGTGGATTGCTAGCATCTTTAATATGTTGTCTGTTGTGAGTTCATATGTTTCATCTGGGTCAAGAGGCCACTGGATACCAAGAACATTACATACTCGCTCTATTTTCTCCCATCTTGGAAGGCTATCAAAGTCAATGTTAAAAGGAACTCTTTGGAGCTGTAGGCCTTCGTACAATTCTCTGGTCATGACATCCTTTTTAATCACCCTTCTGGAGGTGGGCTCAATGGCATCAACGTAGTTTTGATCATTGGGTTGAAGATGAAAACCAATAAAGGTCATTGAGTTGTGGTCATCATTAAAGAAGATGTATGGATGTGGTTCTGTTTCCCATCTTTTTCTGATGAGAAAAGGAGCCAAGTCTTCCTCTCGGACATCAGCAAGATTAACTTGTGACCTGCCAGGACTCTGATCAGAGATGCTGAGTGATGGAGTGGCAAAGTCTTTTGCCATCAGAATCATAAAATCAACCACAAAGGTTTTGAATCCTCTTAGTGTGTCTCCAGTAAAAGTGGCATCACAAAATACTGAGGTCTCACAATCTCTAAGTTGAAGGTTAAGAAACCAAGTGAAATTTCGAAGTTCAGCCCAGGATGGGTCCATTACACCACAGTACATGAGAAGCATCTGAAGACAATTAACATGGGACCCCTCAACTCCATGGTATGTAAAAACATCTAAATCAATGTGATTATGGAACCGTGTCAGGTACTGATATGGGCGCTGAAAGGCCTCACTCCTGAACTCTTGATCATCCATCAGTGGGTCATCACTGCTCACAATGGTAGGATCCTCCTGCATTCTCATCTCTAGCATAAGGACTTCTTTTGGTGGTCGACAGAAAATATTAGGAAAAACGTCCATGAAAATGTTGTTTGCCATTTGTGCCTATAAAGAAAATTTGTGGGAATAAAAGTAGAAAGATTTAAGGTAGGAAAAGCTGCACTGAAGGTGATCGTTCTGAATGATAAAATTCTTACCTCCCGAGTGTCATTTCTTGCTGACTTGACAGTGGGCTCTAAGATCTCTATTACATACAGCTGCTTGTCATTGCACCTCCACATTTTTCCCTCAGAGTCCATCAAATAGCGTAGAATCAACAATTTGAAGAGGAATTCTTGGAGACCTTTCTGGACCTGTAAAAAAACAAAAAAAAAAATTGTTTAAAATCAACAGAAACTAAATCAAATCAATAAGTTAAATGGCTAATAATCAGGTTCATAATCCTATTTAACATCCTATTAAATGACACAATGTTTACCGATGATGTGACATCAAAATGGAAGATGACGAGTTCTTTTGTTTTAGGAGTGTCGAGCAAAGACTGAAGGATGGTAGTCTCATCAACTTTAGGTTCAATCAAGCAAATACATTTCAATGTTGACTGTTTTTTAGTTGAGTGCTTAAGCTTTTCATACAATCTTCTGATGTAAAGAGATTTACCTGTGATAAATAAATAAATAGAGAGCAATAATCAATTAGAACATTTTCTATGAATGTGTAAGAATGAAATATCTTAGATACGCACCAACACCAGCCCTTTGGGATGAGACAACACCAACACAGAGCCGGTCTTTAAATGCTGCTGCAGCACTGCTCTGTTCTGCTGGGACAGTGTAGTGTTTATGAAGGTACTGCTGGATCATTGCTAATGGCTCTTGGGGAATCATGTGCAATCTGTACTGGCTGAAGGCAGATGGTAGGTAGGCATGTTCTCTCTCTGAGCTACAAATGATAACAAGCCTGTAGTCTGCACTGCTTTGCATCTTCATCAGCTGAAAAAAACTCTCAACTTTAGAGCTTACATCATAACTCAAAAGATCTCCATATACTAGAGAGTATATCTTCCTTCCCCTGTAGCCGGTACCAAGACAGCGTCTGAGGAACAGTTCTACTTGTTCATATGGAGTTGAGGGGTTGCACAATAGAACTTCATCATAGGAGGGTAGAACCTCATTTTTGCTGCTCATGTAAATTGAGATGCAAGATGTCAAAGCATCATCATGTGGACAGACAATGAGATTTGGCTTTCCAGTGACTAAACCTCTAGGCATTTCTCTGTTTATAACATTGCCAATGCTGTCATCAGAAATGTCTTCTTCACTGTCATCTTCTTCACTGTCATCCTCTTTGTTGGCCAGTATTTCTAAAAATCTGCCAAGACTTTTAATATCAAGAATGTTGGGGAGGAAATTCTTCATGTCTTTCATGTAAGCATTCCATATGTGATCAAATGCTTGAACACCTGTAGCTTTTTCCACAAGACTTGGAAATGAATCCAGTTCACTTGGAAACTCCTCCAGGTCACTTGCTGACACTACAACAAAGGTCTGGAACTCAATGTCCTCATTTTTATCTTGAGGTTTTGTGATGATCTCATATTGGAGCTTGTGCCAAACTTGCCTCAGATCTTTGAGTGTGCAATTTGGCTTGATGAAGGAGAGCATCATGAGAACCTGGTCCTCAAATACATTTACATTTTGCTGGGTCAGCTTGCTACATAGGTAGACAATCTGCTCGGCTGTGTAATAATTTAAGAAATAATGTTGGGATCTCTGTTTGTGTACAAAGTTCATCCAGTATTCCAGACATTTCTCCATTTTTCTGCAGAGCTCTGGAAGGTGCTCATCTGTTTTGCCCTCCACAGTGACACTAAGTGCACGTCTCAAATTGAAATCCATTAAAATGCAGGGTTCAAAGCCCTTTGAAGAACAATTAATTTGCACCTCCCAGTGTCTGAAAAGAGGATTCCCAGCAGTGTAAAGAGCAATGAAGGCCTCTGTTAGTCTTTGAACACTTGCAAAAACCTGTAACATAGAAAGAAAAACAATGACAGGAGCAAATTCTTTAATCAATACATCTACTAAAACAATAAAAACTAAATCTGGATTATCTCTATAGTCACGGATTTCACAAATATTCAGTTTTACTCAATGCACAGGATTGCACCAGTTCCCAAAAGGCACTTCTATAAATTAATCACAATAATCAATAAACCTTTGTTTGTTAATACAGGTGTGTGACCAACCTTTCAGATAAACATTAATTCACTTTTTATGGTTATCTGCTAAATAGAGCTAGACACATCTCTAAAGCTGTTTAGGTTTATAGGATCCTTGGAGTTAATAAAAACACTATGTTCTTATACTGACAAGCCATGTCACAACATTCATGACTTTTTTAAATCAATTTTATGTCAAGTTGTCAAGTTTTTTGTTTAAGTTGGTTTTAAATATTTTGGTATTCTAACTAACTTGAAAACATGCTGTTATTTTGTTTTTTTCCAGCCAAAAAAAAAAAAAACATGGGTTCAGCAATGTGAAGTTATTAATGTATCAAAAAAATTAAGGTAAAGCCAATGTACTCAATATGAAGATGATTTTGTTATATTTCTTATCTTGATAAAATGAAAAACTTTTCTTCAGAAATTTGACTTCAGATGAAATTAAGTCATGGATTTGGAAAATACATTTGAATGATCTTTAGGTAAATTAAATGGTTTCTTTTTACCTCTACAAAATGTTCAACTTCATTTTGTCCTTGGTCTCCTTTTCCAGACATGAGCATGAGTTTGTTTTGTAGCTCTCTCAAGTCTTCAAGAGAGTAGCAGCGCATCTGCCGACCTTCATCATGCTCCTCTGGGATTTGCAGCTTCAGAGCAGTTTCAAGACTCAACTAGACCAACATACACAAAAGAGAACTCATTTCACACGCATTACTTTGTCGGGACTATGTATACTTAAAGATTACTTATTTAAAGTGTAAAAAAACAGAGAAACTTTTTACTGATCTGTTTTTACCTTTGTCACACCTTGTGCACTGATCAGGTAGATGCCTTTGTTATTAATAGCTGAGGCCAATGAGAGAGATGATAGCTCCACTGACCCATGGCTGTCCTTCACAGTTTTTAGCCACTCAATATGACGTGCACTGTCACGCTAAACATTTAACAAAGAAAATGCATGTAAAAATATATATCATCTAATTTTAATATTCTTAAAAAAACTTGCATTTAGTCTTCTTTAAAGTAATATATTAACAAATTTTACCATAAGTTTTCTATGATATTTGTGTGTTCTCTCACCAGTTTTTTTGGCAAATTGTTATCGTTCTCCAAAGCTCTCCAGAGCTTGTTGAGCACTTCTTTTAAGGCATGAAAACCAGAGTCTGGTTTAAGTTCATAAAGCACAGAGGAGTAACCAAGGATGGCATCATGGAAGCAAGCTACGCGATCCACATCCATGTCATTCTCTCCAGCGGAGATGGAAGCCAAGTCGACAAACACTTTTAACTCATTGATATCTATAAATAACATTAAAATACACATTTTACAAAAATGTTTTTTGTTCCCTTTTAAAAATTTGTCAACAAAAAATTGTACAGACCCTCAAGGGCATCCTTCACCCATCTTACAAAGTGTCTTCTGAGTGCTAGCTCATGTAAACACAGCCTGCGGGGCTCTGTTATGTCAACCAGCACCATCTTTGCCTGCATCAAATCATTATCAATCCTATTTAGGGGCTCTTTCTGAAAGTCTGCTTGGATCTGAGAAAAAAAAGAGAAGTTACAGTTAATGATTTCTTAAGAGCCTTTAAGTAGCTCTTATGGCTACTCAATCAATTTTGTAGAGTTCTCAAATACTTTAGATCTGATCTTTCACATACATTGTATTGTTTTCTCCAAATCCCATATAAATATTCTTGGTTTATCCAAACATAACATCATCAGTATATGAATGGTATGACACTAAAGCATTATGCTCAGTCCAGTTTAGGTATTAATACATGTAATATGAATCTTCTTCTGTTCCTGATTTAGGACCTTTTTTAATTAGGAGTTATTGTTTTAAGGTCTGCTCAATGGAACAGTGGGTAGCACTGCTACCTTGCAGCAAGAAGGTTCTGGGTTCGATTCTCAGATGGAGTTTGCATGTTCTCCCTGAGCATGCGTGGGTTCTCTGCAGATACCCCGGCTTTCTCCCACAGTCCAAAAACGTGACTGTTAGGTTAATTGGCTTCTCTAAATTTTCCTTAGTTGTGCGTGAATGGTTGTATGTCTTGTTTGTCTCTGTGTTGCCCTGGCAACCGGTCCAGGGTGAACCCCTTCTCTCGCCCGTAGACAGCTGGGGATAGACACCAGCACCCCTCGCAACCTCAATTGGGGCAAGCGTGTCAGATAATGGATGGATGGATGTTTTAAGGTCTCAATTTAAAGTGTCAGTAACATTCATTCCAAATGCTCCTTGCTGTGACAAAAGTTATTTAAATCTGTCAATCTCTGCGAAAAACTAAATAGGTTTTTGATGAGATAATTCATAACTTTTTCACAATTAATTTATATCATAACTTTAAATATATTTAAAATTGTAATTCTGAATTTTTTCAGTTTAATAAATTATAGTTTACTTACTACTACTACACTGTTTTTCCTTGCAGTGTCATACTCATCGTCATAGACAGCTACTTACAATGTTTGTCAGCGTTTCCAAAACTCTGAAATCCCCATGAAGACCAAGTGTGTCTTTGACAGACATGATGACTTGAGCAGAGGCCACAGCGAGATGAAGCTCATGATACTGCTGGACCTGTTCAACTCTGTTGTGGATCCACTGTCTATTTGCAGGTTTGTCAAGTTCACACATGGTGTTAAGTTCCTGAGTGAGATCATCATACTTGTCCTTGTAGGCTTTGAAAATTTGGTTGACTTCTTCAAGTCTGATGCTGCCATTTTTTAAACGGGAATATATGTCTTTGTATTCATCAATGCAAGGCATGTAGATGTCCTCATATATCATTTCCAGTGTTGCCCTGATGTCCACTATTTGACCCTCCACAGGCCTGTCTTCTTCCATTTCCTCATTGGCCATCTCTATAGCAAATCTTTCCCAGCAGCCTCTGAAGACGAAGCTGTCGTTGAATGTGCACAGGACTTCTGCCATTTGCCTGATTTCTTCCTCCAGACTGAAGAAGGTAACAATACCAGACATGATGTCTGCCAGTTGGTCAAAGTGATGAACTTCCATGAAATGGTTCAAGGGCATCATCTCAATGTTGACTTGCGACTTTTCCTCAAGGTCAGAAATTTCAACTAATAAAAGAAATTGAACAATTATCCATTAACTTTGCAACAACAGATAAAATTTGACTAACTTCATCAACATGAGCATCATACCTGTCATGTGTTCCTCAAGTTTGTGGCTCATTGTTAATATAACATCAACCAGCTCCTTTTCATGGTAAACCGCTTTAACTTCCTCTTCTCTGTGCTGTAAAAACCTCTTCATTTTGGAAAGATCTTTGTGTTGTTCTTTCTCACTGAGGCAGTCTGTTCAGAGGACATAAAAGAATGGTCACCAATGTGTCAGTTATGATTTTTTTTGTTATTTTATGGAACATTTTCTTACCAATCTTTAGCAGTTCTAAGAAGGTAGTTTTCCTTTCCAGAATGATTTTGAGGAGGCTGATCTTAAGGTCTCCCTGAATCAGTTGATTGTTTATAGATCCGAATGCTGATATGGCTATAGCCAATCGGTCTTTGGCATCTTGCGAAAGTTTCTCAATCACCTTTGTGTCTGCACCTGTGCAAACACAAGACTTGGTCAGTTTATCCCAAAACCGCAAGGAAGAACTATGGTTTGTAACATGTGTTAATGGTCTCAAATCTATTTGCTGTTTGCTCAGGAGTTTTAAAGCCAAAGGTTACTCAGTTTTGTGTACTTTGCAACTAGATAATGTTTTTTAAACAATCTTTCAAAAGGTTGTTTTCAGTAAACAAGATACCATATAGACGGAAAATGTCTTTCGCTGCCGTCCAGGAGAGGAGGTGTTGCAGGACAACTTCTTCTTTTTCATGATACTTTCCATGACCATCCCTTGGCCAGGATTTTTCAATAATAGCAGAGATGAGTTTCCCGAACTTCCAGTTTATATTCAACCTCTCAAACAGTCTCCCTTCTGACCTGGTCTGCATACAGTGGAGAGAAAATCATTCAGCTTTGTAATAAAACCAATGCATTTTAAATGATTGCAGTACAGACCTAAATTGTGAGAAATCTCAAACCTTTTCTATGTCCTTATAACATGTTAATACACAAAACCTAATTCTTCTAATTCTTCTAATCAATATTATCAATATTTATCAATATCAATATTTATTAAAAATACCAAGGGCCACCAAAACCTGTTTGTAAAATAAAAGTCTCATACCTGGCACAAAGACGTAACAGCTTCAAGAGCACACTTCTCAATGCTAGCTGCAACATGTGGATAGGAAGCACTAAGCTCCTCTATTTTTGAGCAGTAGAATTCAGTTTGATTGAGAGCAGTTTCCTACAAGGCACACAAATAAGTTAACAGTCATTTAAAATCATATAATAGACCAAAAATATTAAAGCAATAAGCCACAAAAAACTGTTGGAAAATATCCGTAACACAGATTCAAGAGGCTTATTGAAAATAAAAGAAGGTTATCTGACTTTATTTTCCCCATATTTAAGAAGATCCTGCCCACCCCCCAGTGTATCACTTACCCGTTTGAACTTGCCCTCAAAGTCCATAGTTAAGGTTTGCCTCCATTTCTTGGTACATTCTTGATCTTTAAAGTTAATGGAGATGATGTTGTTCCATGTCTGAAAATCAAGAACTTAAATCAAATACCTGCTAATTTACAGTCTCAAACCAGTTGTATGATTAGCATTTACCTAAAAAGATAACTACATACCTCCAGTTCTGCTGCTTTAGCCTTGTAAGTGGTTAAATACCCCCCACTTAGCAAACTTTGTTTGAATGACTGATTCATCCAGTCTCTCATTATTCCCATCCCCTGAGAGATGACCAAGTCTTTTGCATTTTGGTGTTCTCTGTCTTCATCTTGAGACTCCTAAATATGAATTATTTACAGTTTTATTATACCCAAATAATTGTTGGAAATGTAAAGGTTCACAGATATGATTTGTACTTCTTACCTGTTCGTTGGACAGAAAGAAGTCCAAAACGGATGCAACAATATTCATCGCTGCCACAGGGATTTCAGGAAAGTTTTGGGTATGTGATTCTGGTCTGACTCCTCTGCAGACCTTCTCGAGCAATCTAATTGCTGCTGTCAGACACTCTTTCCTGTAGATCTGTGTGAAGCAGCTAGAATGAAAAAAAAAAAAATAGATGATTAGGGTGGGATAATACTCAGAAGTTATGATGCTGTTGATATTTTCTTCAGCATTTTAAAAAGAACCTGAAAGAGAGCTGCTCATGCACTCTTTGTTATCTGAGAACTGAGCCAGAACTAAACCACGCCGAGCCCTAATGATGAACTAGTACCAGTTCTTTGCGGTTCGGCTGTGTCTGGCACGGTCCGGTTTATTTTTGCATGCCATTTACACTCAACAGTTATCTCGGTTACTGTGCTTGTACCGATCTCAGCACAGTTTCAAAAGGATAGTGTAAATGGGGCTTAATTAATGCAGACCTGGCCCAGTACAGTAAAGCCCGGCGTACACTGTGCGATTTTCGGGGCGATTTTCCAGTCGTGCTAGAATCTTTTGATCAGCCCGACTTTCAGCCTGTTCGTGCGTCATGAGTCGTGTAGTGTATTTCTTTTTTTTTTTTTTATGTATTTAGTCTTTAGCAAAACAGAACCTGTAAAATACCTCTGTCTGATTACATCATTTCTGCATATCAAATCAGATGTTAAGATCCAACAATTACTCAATACTTGAGTTACTTTTTTTACATTTACTTGAGTACAGAAATGTAGTGCTAAAGTAGAGCTACTCTTATTTGAGTATACTTTTTTTAGGTACTCTCACTGACACCTAAGAACTTAGTTTTTCTGATGCTACAAGATGTTTGAATTGGACTGAGGTTCAAAGTTATTCAAGATCCACCTGTTTGTGGGAACAGCTTGGATAATATTTTGCAAAAGCTGCTTGTGACAAGCTGCCCAGCTATTAGCTTGAGTTTTAAGTAGTTAGTTGAGTCGTTTATCTAAACAAAATCTTATTTTTTCCCTTGCAAGGATTATAATAAAGGTCTTTTGAGTAAGTACCACCAAAATCATTCTTGTTGAATATGACCAATGTTTTTTTCCCCTAGTAACAAGCATTACATACCTGGATGAATCGTTTCTGTCTAACACTACTACTTCAATGCTTGCTATTATAAAGTAGTTGAGTTTTTTTTAACTGTTGTGAAACAAAAAAGAAAGACATTACTTTATATAACTCATTTTTTATAGTTTTTTAAATAGACTTTTCTTTATTCATTGCAATCATCTAAAGTCAATTTTCTTACATTCAACAGAGGCCTGAATACCATTACACGTGATGATAACATTTTACACTGTATATCAACAGAAAAGGTTTTCCTACATAAATCAGTGTGCGTACCTGTACTTTTCCTCAATGAGACTCTGTTGGATGTGGGCAAGGATTTGAATGACAGCCTAAAATTGGAAAACAGAAAACCAGGAATATTTTCAATTGATAATGTTGCTGAAAGTTCTTAACTTTCATTCCAGGTTACATATTTTCCATCAGGGAAATTAAAGGATGTTCATCCATGACAAAGCTGCAATATGTCAGGATCATGTTAAATAAACAGATCTTAAAAGCTAATGGCTTCACTCGCTGTAAATCTTCTCTGGGATTTACAGTGATTTCTTAAGTTGCAGGATTGAAGCCCTATTTAACATTTATTTCTGGATTCCCACTCACCTGAGAGCTGCCACCAGCAGTAATATCTTGAGGGATTTTATTAGTGAAAACATGAAGCATGTCCAGAAGCTCAGGATTTAGGTCGCTACATTCCAGCTGTTCATCAAGTGGCATCAGGTACAAGAAGGACCGAATTAAAAGTGGATCCACTTTCATCAAATGACTGTTGTTCTTTATCACATTTATTAGTGCTCTAAAAGAAATAGACAAAAGTTAGTCATCAATCCTGGTCCATATAAATATAAATATTCTAACATATGTAAAACACCTAAAAAAAAAGATGAAACTTACTTCCTATCTTGACTGTTGATGTATATTTGGTTGCCAATGTCAAGCCCTTCCAAACCGGCCCACTGCAAGCTATACTTAAGATTTGCAGAGGTTTTCAGTTGAAATGGCTTTACGGTGCCTTTCAGTAGATGAAGGAGTGGCAGTACCATAATCCATCGAGGCATTGTCACTCTTCTGACAAATTTGATCAAATCCACCAGCATTTGTGGCAAACTTTAAACAAAAACCCAGTGAGAGAATGAGACATTTTAAAAATGGTTAATGATCTGTGGTATTTAATATTTAATTATCAGAACTAGTTACCTTTTTATAGCTGAGACGTCTTGAGAAAAATCGCTCCAGTACTGAAGGAAATCATCCTTCTCTAGCTTAGGCAAACAAAGCGCATTACAAAGGCGGTGGAGTTCAGGATTTTCAAGTTTGACACCATAGCTTCTCCACACATGAAGCATGATCAGGGCTGCTTTCATGGGGTCCTGAACGTAGGGACTTTCTCCATCTCCATCCCTGAGCTGAGGGATCACGTACGTTAGCATGAACTCCTTCAGAATCCTCCTCACCTGTAATATAGCACCAAAAAGCAGAGGATTAAGTCAGACTGACACAATCAGAAGGATCTAGACTGTCCGCACAAAGGCTCTGAACTTACATCCTCTTCCCCAAATTGTAAGGAGTACCATTTCTTTTGCTTCTCTTCAAATACGAAAGGGTTTGCATAAACCTGAAAGAACTGATTCAACTGCATTTGAAAACTTTTTAGATTGGTTTCACTCCAGGTCATCAGAAGATCAAATATGGACTGCAGCATTATGTTTGCAGCAATTTCTCTGCCTTGAATAAGACTTTTGCGTTGCTCAGGCCAAATCACATCCTTGATGCGCTTCAGAACGCCTTTCGATGGCTCAGCGCAGATGATGTCGTCATACTGATGCCAGTCCCCTTTACAATAAACATAAGTACAACACTTAATATGAGAAGCTGGTTAAAAACACTACTGTGATTGTAAGAAAGCTGTAACTGCAACTTTACCATCATCAGTGATGAGGTGGGATTTCACAAACAAACATCTGTTGGTATATTCATGTGAAGAGTCATGTTTGTATATGAACTCAAACTCGTATTGATGCTTTTTCATCTTATAGACTACATATTTGTAGGCTACAGATTTAGACGCAGTTTTGTCTTTGCTTGTCTCGAGCCTTCCTTCAACAAGAAAACCATGCTCTCCAAGATCCCTGCAAGAGGAGGAGACGTGGAAAAGGTGTTGCAAAATCAACAAGAAAAAACTTAAATTTAATTTGCATGAGTGTTGATAACCCAAGACGTAAAATGTTTCGCATTTTGTGCACTTTTCAATCGTCCTTTATTTGTTGCACTTTACAAAGCCAAATGTATTCATCATATATAAAATAATAGTTATCTACGAGATCATCTACGAGATGCAGAATCAGTATGACATTACACATTTAGAGTAAAAGTTAGAATTTTTTTTTTAGACACCAGGTTACCTTGTTACTTCCAGCTCAGCAACATCATCTTTCCAGCTTTCAGCTATAGGTTTTCCAGCTCTGATGAAGATTCTATCTTCCTTAGGATCAAATTTAAAATCCCTCGAGAGAACTGCATGAAAGTAAATTGTGAGTCTGTCTCGTGTTGTGATGTTCTTATTTTGGATGTGCCTGCAAAGACAAGAAAACTGCTTTATAACATAAACCACCCAAACAAGTCTTTCTTTAATGTCAGTTATAGCTCACATTTTAGGCGGTGGTGCTGCTGGAGAGTTGGTTTTAGTGCTTTCCTTAGTGTCTTTTCTGTTTTGTTTGTCAGCATCTGAAGCCATTTCTTGTTTGTTTCCAGTCTCCTCACAGTCCATTCCCTCTGGATCCACACTGGAGCCTGAGTTATTAGGCTGTAATATTAAGTATAGATTGTAATTGTACACAATGGTGCATCAGAGGTCATGGAGGTCTTTTTTATTAACATGAACCACCCTTACCTTTGATTGTGCTGAACTCTTCCCCTGTTTATGCTCCTGCTGAACTTTTCCATTTGTTTTCTGACCACCCTCACTTTTAGCCTTCTGTTGTGTTTCGTCCGTCCTATTCGGATCTAATTTAGCATTCTGATCTAGGTTTGATTCTTTCATAACAACAGATTTTTCTTCTTTTTTGGAGCTTTTGGGGCCATCCTTTTGCTGTTTAGGATCAGCAGCCTTTACCTCAGCTGCAGCTAAATCATTGTCTGCTGCTTTCTCTGCTGTTTGATCCTGGTTTGATTTATTGACATCAGGCTCTCTATTAACATTAACAGTGGTTTTGGTAGGCTGACTTGCTTCAGTGCCCTCAGCCATGGATGCTGGTTTTTCACTGTTAGTGTTTTCAGAGGACGCTGTTGTGGTGTTAGCCGGTAATGAAGTAGAATTCTTTTTTAGAGAGGATGGATCTTCTTCAAGTGATTTTTCTATTGTAGAGTCAGAGCTTTCACCATCACTGGATTCTGCTTTTTCTTGCGTTATCTTCCCTCGACTGTCTTCCAGGGATATGTGTGACAGGTCAGACTGGCTTAAATCTTGATCTGATGGCACGCTGTCATCTTTTTTCTTTTTGCTCTTCTTTCGTTTTTTCTTCTATGAGGAAAAACAGGAAAAAATATATATGTACTTTTTAAAAAACAGCCCAAAATTAGACAAATTTTCCAATATATTTGAACGCCTCATTCCTTCAGCCAAGATAGTTTGCTTCGTATCTTTAAGTCTAATACTAGCCCCATTAATAACCCTGTTTGAAGTTGTTTCAAAGCATATGCTGCCCCTATTCGGGATTTGAGCATATTTTTTTAAAATCAAGAAATGTAATCATACTTCTGCTCACACATTAGACATTCTTTTAAGTAGAAGTATGGCTTCACGATATAACTATGACAGACACAGCAGTCAGGCTTAAGCTTTTAAAGCCACTGTGACCAAGAGGTTTCCATTTTTTTTTTTTTTTTCATTTTAATTACCTTAAAAATAGAACAGAAAAAACAGTTTTGGCTACTTACTCTCACCTTTTTCTTGGGGTTTGGTTGTTCTTCACTTGGACGTTTGGGAGATTTATTGGAGTCTTTGTTATCTGTAGGCTCCTCATTCTTCTGAGATTTTGATCCATCAGTTTCTTGGTTTGCTATCAAAGGTTTAGGCTCATTTTCTGACTCTGGAATAAGGATAAAAAAAAAAAAATCAGATTTTTAAAAAGCAATGTCGTGTAAAAAACTGTCTAGGGGGGGACCCTGTCTTTTGCCAATAAGCTTCTGGAGATGGGCACCAACCACACTGTGATGAATGGATTTTTGAAAAAAAAAGCTAAATCAAAGTATAATCAGACTTTAGAGAAAAAATACTGTCAGCCAGATTTCTTAATTCCAAAGTATTTCTGTAAGACGATATATGATGCTCTGAGAAACATTCCCAAAGCATTATGGAAAAATCCACCATGCTTAGTAGGTAGTATTCGGAACAATTCTTTTCTAAATTGCCATGATTTGTGTTGCGAATAAAGATACACTGATCCATATCTTTTCTGATCCAATCTGATACCGATACAAAGGCTAAGTGGATATCTAAGCCAATATCCGACATGGATCCGACTCAACTGTTGAATGAATTAACCATATATCCTGCCTTGTAAGTAAAGGCTTTACAGCTGACACGAACATTGTTAAAACGGGTAAAAATGTAACACAGATGCAAATGTGTTTTATATCATTTATTTACAAACAAGCAGCAAAAAGTACAAAATAACAGTTAAATGTAAAATGCAATGGATTGGATCCCTGATATGCAATTTCAAATCACATATATCCAATCTAGCTATAGTCTACAGTATATCTCAGCTGATATCAGATCCAGGTATCTGACTGGTGCATCTCTATTTGTAAAAATAGATAACCAGACTTTCCTGTCAACTCTCAGCCCAACTTTGTGTTGAAGTTTTCATTCTTTTTTTTTTACGTGAAAGATGTTCTTTTCCCAGATGGATCATCAAAATAAGTGGTCCTCCTGATTGTCATTCATCCTCGTCCCCATTTTCACTTACTGAGTCTGACATAGTGGAAAAATTGCAAATCTTCTTTTGGAAAATAAGCTTGTATGTGATGCAAACAGCAACTTTTAAACAGAGTGTGAACGAGGAGAAATGGGCTTGTGCACGTGTTCAATAGGTACAGGGTTGTGCATGGGCATTTTTTTATTAAGTAAAGAGGGTGGGTCATTTCAAAGGTTTGCAAAGATCCTCCACTGTACTTTTAAAATCATAAATAGTTCAAAATCTAATATGAAAAAAGCTTTATGCTTAATGTCATCTTGTTAATGTATCGATGTCCACAGACGGAATATTGTCCATTTCAAAATGTTTCATCAGAAAAGAAGTTTTCGTATATAATTAGTAAAGTATATAAATAAGAAGTTTACTTACTCTGTGATCCTGAAGGAGCTTCAGAAAGCCTGAGGCCACATTGACTGCAAAAGTTGGGTTTATTGTCCAAAATATCATGTTGACAACCTGGACACTTCATCCTTAGGAGGTTTCTAAAAAGAAAGAAAAAAAGAAAGTACCGTTCATTTGATGCCCCACAATATGACTGTTTACTTTCGCTTTCTCCTTTACTGTTCCTGGTTGGTCTCATGATTATTTTCAGCCTTGCAATGTAGCAAGCCAAGAAAAAGTACTTCCCCCTCATGTGAACTATGAGCAGCATTCGCATAGAATGCACATTTTTTTTTTATGTTCAGTGTTAAAACTCTTGCAATAGTGTATCTAGGAAATTTTACACAGCATGCCATCTTTCCCGCCAAGTTCCCAGTACCAATAGTTCTATTCTAATCTCATTAGAAATTTATTTTTTAATAAATGAAGGAAACACGACAGCTCTTACAACACATAGCAATAAATTTAATTAAAAAACATAAATTAATATCAAGATTTTCTTTCGAATTGAAAACCAAGCTTATGCCATGTCCAGGGGTGGAGCTAGATGGGGGGCCAATCATTGGCCTCCCTTGTGGCCACCCCTACCCTTTATTTCCCTCGCAGCAGTAATACTCTGAAGTGGAATATTAAAAACATTTTAATTTTTCATATATTAACAATGACTTGACCACAAAAACAATGTGTTTAATTATGCACATCAATATACTATCATTAAAGATGGTAAGTACAGAAGTCATGCACTTTTCAGAACTAGATTTTGTCTTTTATGGGGTAAAGAGAAAATGATGTATCTCTGCAAGTTATCTAGGAGTCTTCAGTGAAATCATAAACAAATAACTATTTTAATACAAACTTATTTGATAATCAATTTATGGAGATATTAGTACTTGTAAATATCAGTTTTATGCAGAATGATTACTGATAAAAGTAGGTCAGTAATGACAATGGAAAATATGTTCGCTCAAAACTCAAAGCCTGAAAGAATTTTATCCTCTATATCTTGTATCTAGAAAGCAGGGATGTTTGAATATATTCATCTATTTGTTAGCAAAGGTTGTGGGAAAGTATAGTTTTTCTTTATTTAGAAAATATGGATGTTTTGCTCATTAATTTTCTTGCTGGAACAGTATAGGTTCTTGTGCCTCTCCACTTTTGGCCACCCCTCAGTGTACATTAGTCACTGGCCACCCTTATAAACATTTTCTGGCTACGCCTCTGGCCATGTCACAGACTATCTGTAAGCAACTAGCTAATAAGTTTCATTTTCCTTTTTTCACTTGGAAAATCGTTGCTTCGTCATTTGGGAAACAGAAACTGAATAATTACAGAATCCGACTGAAGAAAAAATAGCGTTACCCTAACTAAAAACTCCAGACAGACAAAGTAATGAGGCATCTCATGATAATAAACGATCTATGATGTATATTTCAGCCAATCGCGTGTTAGCGACGCACTTCCTTGTTATTTTGACATAAAAACCAATGCATGACAGTTTTACGAAGAAAATGATACAAACACGATAACTAAAGCAACACATCATATCACTCATCTTCATTAAAGTCTCTAAATCACATTACCTAAAAATGCTATAACATTATATCAGCCAGCGCGCTAACTAGCTCAGTGGTTAACACCAAAATTGCTAACTTTAGCTTCGCCCTGTCCTCTTCCAAACAGAATAATAACTAATGACAGCTGTAAAGGTTGGTGTGTGCCGAACCGCCACACGGTTTGAGCCCCACTTACTCTGCGGTTTCATGTCTCAACGCACTGTTATAATCTCTCCAGCTAATAGGATTATTTTTTTTCCCTACTTTGTCAAAAACGTTCAATCTGACGTTAGTGTACCGCGGCAATGTGTGCAACATAAACATTTGAGTGCTTACCAGAACCGAGCGGGCTCAGTCCTCTTCCTGCTGTGCAGCTCAGTAAAGCACACAGAGCAATCCTGCTGCATGTACTGCTAGTCACTGATGGCTGCTCTCTGTTAAAACATTTCCGTCGCTTCTAAAGTTTCGTTTTATCCTAAATGGGCGTATACCAATAAAGTTTACTTCGATTATGAATCATAAAACTGCGTCTCTTTGATCTTACCTACAGGTATGTGAAAATAACTTAGATCCACTACAGACATTTCAAATCCATTTATTTATTATTTATTTATTTAAAGCACTTGGTTAGAAAGCATGCTTTTATAATATAAAGCACGATTTCAAAAACTACTTAATCAAGTGATGGATTAAAAAAAGCAACTCTATTTGTTTCCCACATCTCCTGCACAGAGGAGTAGCCAGAAATGTTGATAAGGGTGGCCAAAAGCCACTGAGGGGGGGCCAAAATGCAGATAGGTGCCAGAACCTCAGGGTCAATCTATACTGTTCCATAAGGAAAATGAACAATCACAACATCCATATTTTCTAAATAAAGACAAACTATACTTTCCTTTGCTAACAAAACATAAACGCATATATTGAAACATCCATGCTGTCTAAATTAAAGG